AGATACACAGAGAAACCCTGTCTCGAAAACCCAAGGAAAAAAATTAACATGAATATAATTGTGAGAGACCATTTGCTGTATATTGTTCACTTACACACAAATATATTGTTTTTGTGTTGCTGGGCTATTTTGCAAGGATGATGTTTTCTGAAAGGTAATCATTACCAATTATCAGTTTTGTTTTTAGGTAATAAGATGTGCTATCTTTCATATATGCACATGAGACCTGTCCAAAGCTTTAAGAACATTTTCACAATATGGAAAGTATATATTTTCAAAGGGCGATCAGAACAATAAGTAGAATTCATATTTATCATTAAAGGGTATATAGCCAAGGAAATACCCCCCTGTTATCTAGCAGTTTACCTTTTATTGTCAGAAAGTTTTAATAGTTCAATGTTAGGTTGATTGATTTTTAACATTTGTTTTTATTTTGGGGTTACTTTTCAGAAAATTTACCTACTTGTGTTATTATTCCCAACCCATCCCAGGAATACTTTAAATTATGCCCAGAAAACTTTCGAGATGAGGATGTTTTTGTCTGTGAATCAAGATATTCTGCCAAAACCAAATCTTTTAAGAAAATTAAACTGTGGACAATGCCCATCAGCTCAGTTAGGTTTGTCCCTCGGGATGTGCCCTTGCCTGTGGTTCGAGTGGCCTCTGTATTTGCAAATGCAGATAAAGGGGATGATGAGAAGAATACAGACAACTCAGAGGACAATCGAGCTGAAGACAATTTTAACTTGGAAAAGGTACGTGGATAGTAACGACCTAGAAATGAACTTTAACCTTAAAATATCTATTCCAGAAAGTAAATTAATATATTTAAACTCAAAAAAGAAAAAAAAAATTGAGGGTATAAAACCTTAGTCAAACAAGAGGAAGAAACTCAGGGAAAAAGAAAAAAAATAATTAAAAGTAGTATATAAAGTAAGTCAAGGGGCCAGGGCAGAGGCAGGTGGATCTCTGTGAGTTTGTGACTAGCCTGGTCTACAGAGTGAGTTCCAAGACAGCCTGGGCTACACAGAGAAACCCTATCTCGAAAAACCAAAATTAAATAAATGAAAGTAAATCTAGGGGGCAAGAGACTGGAGAAATGGCTTAACCTCTAAGAGCACTAGCTGCTCTTTCAGAGGACCCAGGTTTGATCTCAGCACTCACGTGGCAGCTCACAACCGGCTCTAACTCCTGTTCCAGGGGATCTGGCTTCTGCAGGCACCAGGCATGCACTAGGTGTATAGACATACCGTGCAGGCAGAATATTCATGAAAAAGTAAATCAAAGAGACCAGTGAGGATTGAGTATATGCTCAACATCCATAGGTGGATTCTTTTTAACTCTTTGTAGGACTGCTATAAGTAAAAGCTGTTTATACTGGCCTTGGTGGCACATTCCTTTAACCCCAGTACTCGGGCATCAGAGACAGACTTATCTCTTGAGTTTGAGGCCTGCCTGGTCTGCAGAGTAAGTTCCAAAACAGCCAAAGAAACCCTGTCCAAAAAATAAAATAAAAAAAGCTGTTTAAACTACTTGATATTATAGAAATGAAAACCCTCCTTAGTTCATTGTATAAAGCCAGAGCAAACTGTGTTCCACACCCTTCAAAGTCCATGAGAAAACTGTGCCTTGGTCTCATGTATGATATCAATATAAAAATTGAGGCAATAGTATTTTTATAAGTGAAATCAAAGCCATTTTAAAACAACATGATCAAAATGATCAAGGAAGGAAAGCTTCCACTTAGGAAAGAAAGGATTATTCAAAATAAACGGTTTTTTGTTGTTGTTATTTTGTGGTTTATTTATTTACTTATTTTGGTTTTTCGAAGTAGGGTTACTCTGTGTAACAGTCCTGGCTGTCCTGAAACTCACTCTGTTATTGACCTGGCTGGCCTCAAACTCACAGAGATCAGCTTGCCTCTGTCTCCCGAGTGCTGGGATTAAAAGCATGTGCCACCACTGCCTGACTCAAAGTTTTTTATATTTCATTAGATTACTAGTTTTTTGGTTTGTTTTTTTTTTTACTAAGATTTTTATATCACTTATGCTTTCCAATAACCCCATCTAGGGGGCACACTGCCATTTATTTTATACATGAAGAAATCAGGTAATTTGCCCTCTGTTGCTGCACGTAGTAGGTAATTTATTCAGAACCAGAATGCATCATGTTTATGTCATAAAACTATATTATTTCTTGCCATAATGGAATCAGTAAAAATGATACAAATTTAAAATATCCGAGTTATTAACATTAAAAATGAAGCGTGTCCTAGAGGCCAGGGTAAGGTACCAAACTAGTGGTTGGCACTCCTCTCCCTGCTTTACCTGCCTAACGATAGGTAAGAGGCCACAGGAGAGGGCTAGTGTACCTTTTGGGGACAGAGGGTTAGAAGGACAGATCCGGACAAGGAGGGAGGCTTCTAACTGGACTCCTTGGGAAGTATAGGTCTCCTTCAGTGCTCATCTGCCCTCCCAGGAATGTAGAGCAGGTCTGAAGAGGAAGGCTTCAGGGAAGCATTCCAGAGGATCCTCACTCATCACTCTGCCAGGTCTCCTGAGTTTACCTGCTCTGCCACTCCTCTTTCCTATTTAGTCTGCTGTGTGCTTCTGTGGTGTGAGAAACCAGTTCTCACACTCATTTCTGCTGTGTTATGAATGCCTTCCCTGGGGGTTTCACAGAGATGTAACCAGGAATTAGGACAGAAACGATGGAGAGAATCTTTCTGTGTATCACAAAAGCAAGTTAAAGACCAGCTTGTTATATTTCTGAATCCTGCAGGGCTCAGAAAGGAGTATTACTTTCCATAGTGGGCAATAAAATGAGCTATGTCATTAGAAGAGATTGAATGAACTTAATTTATAAAGATATTATTAAAAAGAAGCTGGTCCTGGTGGCACATGCTTATAATTTTAGGATTTTGGAAGGTTGAAGCAAGAGAAAGGAAAACTCGGGAACTGCTTAAACTGTAGAATGAGTTTAGGGCCAACTTAGTAAGACCCTGTTTTATAAGTAAGGAAATAAAGGGTTTGAGGTATCAGTGATCGTCTAGCACATAGAGTCCTAGGTCCCATCCCTATTACCACAGAGGGAAGGGGGAAATTCTCTAAAATTAAGTAAAGAATGTTATATAGAATCTGTTCCCTTTTTGTTTTGTTTGTTTGTTTTTGGCTTTTGCTTTTTGTGAAACAGGGTCTCTTTTTGTGGCCCGGCTGTCCTGGAACTGACCTCAACTCAGAGATACACCTGCCTTTGCCTCCCGAGTACTGGGATTAAAAGTGTGCACCACCACCACCTGGCTAGAATTTGTTCCTTCTACTGTAGTGAATTTGTCTACTTCTAAATGAATGTTAGTAAATTTTTTCCAGTATTTTTTCTCAAAAATCTAATCCCCTCTGAGCAGTGGTGACACACACCTTTAATCCCAGCACTTGGGAGGCAGAGGCAGGTGGATCTCTGTGAGTTCAAGGCCTGCCTGGTCTACAGAGTGAGTTTCTTTCAGGACAGCCAGCCAGGACTACACAGAAAAACCCTCTCAAAATAAGTAAATACATAAAAGTCCAATCCGGGAAGCGGGGTATAAAAATGTAACATTTTATGAAAATTATAAGTTTGAAATGAATACAATACTTAAGAGTTTGATTTTCACAATTTAATGTTTGGTTTCTCAACTTTCACAAAAAAAATTACTTATAGTTGTTTCTTCAGTTAATTTGGAGTCTCTGCTCCTTGCTTGTTATCTGCCAGTCTTTAACCTGTTCCTTTCCACAGGAAAAAGAAGATGTTCCTGTGGAGATGTCCAATGGTGAACCAGGTTGCCACTACTTTGAGCAGCTTCATTACAATGACATGTGGCTGAAGGTTGGCGACTGTGTCTTCATCAAATCCCATGGCTTGGTGCGCCCTCGTGTGGGCAGGTGAATTAGGGAAGATGAGGTTGGGGCTGAGAGTTGAGGCTTAGTATTCCACACTCAGAACGAAGACAAAAGTCCCTCCCCTGGCTATTTCTCCAGCTTCCTCACACCACATTTCCTCTGCTCCTACTTCTGTGGCAAGTAGAATAGTATATGCATGTGTATAATCCTAGCGTTTGGAAGGCTAAGGCAGGAAGAGCAAAGGTTCCAGACTAGATCCTGTCTCAAAACAAACACTCAGAGAATGAAAGATAGTTTTACTTCAGTGGAGCTTTGTTCAAATGAGAAAATAGACAAGCATCTTGCATAAGTAAAGATGTATGTTAGCTCCTGATACATACTTGAAATTGGAGCCAGTAAGGGCTCAGAACAGAGAAAATGATCTGTATAGATTTCACTAAGAATCTGGAAGTTGAGCTAACATGAAGAAATGGTAAGAATTGTGAATATCAGAGAAAACATTCCAAGCAGAATTAATAGTCAGTATAAAGGCTTGAGAGATAAGTACACCACACTTAAACCAGAAGTTTGCTACTAGCAGAGTGAACCCTGTGTAAGGTAGTAGGGTAATATGCAAATCATATAAGGTTTCAAAGACCATTGTGGACACTTGAACTTTTGTAGAGTTAAATAAAGTGTCTTTGTATTGTTTCAAGCAGAGAAGTAACATTTGACTCTGATTTATTATGATTGCTTTGCTTTCTCCTTATTGAGACTGAAAGGGTTCAAGAATGAAAGCAAGGAGATCTGCCAGGAGGCTATTGTAATAATCCAGGCAAGAATGATAGCCTCTTTTTTGTGTTGTTGGTTTCTTTGTTTTGTTTTTTTGTTTGTTTGTTTGTCTTGTTTTTGTTTTTGTTTTTTGTTTTTTGAGATAGGGTTTCTCTGTGTAACTTTGGAGCCTGTCCTGGGTCTCACTCTGTAGAGCAGGCTAGTCTCGAACTCACAGAGATCCACTTGGCTCTGCCTCCTGAGTGCTGGGATTAAAGGTGTACGCCACCACCGCCCGGCTAAATGACAGCCTCTTAAATGTGGCTAGTTACACACAGTGGTATTTAGGAGGCCAGGCTAATAGCATTCCTAACCAGTGGATTATAGAGTCCAAGAGTAGAGCAGTCGGGGGACTCCTGTAAGCTGGTGTAGTGAACTGAAAGGTTTACTTAGTATTCACTGAAATGAAAAGACTGCTTTATGTCTGGAACCCTGGAAATAGGGGATTTTACGTTGATAGATAATACAGTAGAGTAGCCCAAGGGGAAAGTGTTTTAGTGCTTGATCTTCCACCAAAAGCTGTGAACCTCTGTTTTGAAGGAATGCTTGCCAAATCCAATGACAAATGATTAGTTGTTTGCATCCTGAACATCTCAGGAAGAAAACCTGAGAGTTGGATAAAATGATTTCGTTACAAACCTTGATACTGTGTTAAAGTCTTTTCTCACCCAGTGGCCAATTGTCCTGTTCTCTTTTCAGAGTGTCTTCTCTGAAAGGTGTCTTAAAGAGTGAGGAGCACCCATGAAATTCCTCTAAATGCTGTATACCGTTACATTTTAGTTAGTAGAGTTTTTATTAGATAATCATTCAAGACTAAACTTATCATAACTTCATTTCTCTATTCCCCCCCCCCCAAGAATTGAAAAAGTATGGGTTCGAGATGGAGCTGCATATTTTTATGGCCCCATCTTCATTCACCCAGAAGAAACAGAACATGAGCCCACAAAAATGTTCTACAAAAAGGAAGTGTTTCTGAGTAATCTGGAAGAAACCTGCCCCATGAGCTGTATTCTAGGTAGGTATTTGTCCTTTTTCATCACAGTTGTTCTGTAAAACATCGATTAAATACTCAGCAAGGCGCTCTTCTAGACATTGCATCTGTAGCAGTATAAAAATGTCAAGGTCTTTGCTTTCATAAAGACATTGGAGCAAAAGTTGGGGAGTCAGTAAACAACAGAGAACACCAGGTGGTAACTAGAGTTTAAATGAAAATAAAACAAAGGAGATTGACAATAGTGTTGAGGCAAGGTCATGTGATTGGCCAAAATTTGCTGATAGATGCTATATGAATTGACCCTAGTATAGTTTAAAAATATACAAAAGAGAATTATCTGAGGCTCTGTTCTAGGTGTAGCAAATGTGTTATTTTAGATTGTCTGTTTATGTTTGATACCTAAAAGGGTCAGGTAGCTAGAGCATGGGAGGGAATGTGGTGTAAGGGATGGGCCCTTAGAGTGTTCTGGATACTCATATAGTAGGCCTTATAGATAGTGCAGTGATTGGGCTTGAAAGGAAATCGTAGTCATGTTGAGCAGAGCTGTGATGTAAGGTGACAGACACGTTAGCGGTAAGAATCATTATGGATGCTGTGTGAACAATGTTGTAAGAGTAAGGTAGGGTATAGGGAGAATAGTCTAATGATTCAATTTCTGTTAGAGTCTTCAACTTGATCATTTTATTTTCTCCATTCCAAACCAATGTCTTGAGTTCTCTTTGGTCATCTACCTAGCATTCCTAGTGGTATTTGATAGGTTTCCTGTAGCCCAATAATAGGTTTCTCTGCCAATGCAGTAAGCTAGATCAAGCCAAAATAAAAAGTAAAAGACCAAGTACATTTGAGCAAAGCAACTCTCTGGTAAGTCCTCCTGCTCCTAGAGATCACATGACCGGTCTAGAGGAGGGGGCTTAAATACCCTGTAGACATGGGGTGATGGTGTGTCTTCCATAAGCAGGGTTTGTGCCCAATTATAATGCTTTGGGCAGGGATTGGGGGGCTGGCAGCCTCAGGAGGAGCTGCCACTTGGCGGTTTTTCTGAGAAGGCAGGGAGGAATGAGAAGGAGGAATGAACGGCCAGATGAAGTAGGGCTGAGCTGGAGATTCCAGCCACACAGTATTCTGTTTCTTAGATCTAGTTGTGTGCATCATCGTATGCTAACAGTGTTGCCGGCTGTTCTGTCTCCCCAAGCCCTGAGAGCCTCTAGATCATACACTAGCCATGCTACATCCCTTGAGAAGGCTTTCTAAAGGATTACTAGTTAGAAGCTTTACAATGATGCTCAATGTTTTGTGGATCCCCCACCAACACTCCAAGTTAGAGGTTGAACCCAGGGCTTTGTGCATGCTAAGGCAAACACTCTACCATTAACCTGAATAGCTACAATAGCACACCCTGATTGTTCATGGTTTTAAATGAACCACCATGGATCACAACCAAAGGGAAATCTTCAGATTCAAACATAGGTTAGTCTTTATTTGATGAGGATGTTAGCTCAGTTGTTTTGGTACTTATAATTATTTTCAGAATTATATGTGGCAAAACTGTTCAGTTATCCAGCGCATTTTCAACTTTCTGTCATTGGGAAAATGAACTAAGACCAGTGAAGTCATTAAACTCTTTGCCTTTCTGTAGCAGAAAATATCTTCCTTTTAAATTTTGATCCAGACTGAAGTGATGCCAAAGTCACTTTCTATTTGTAAGCCCAGCAGAATTAAAAAGAAGCATAATGAGGGTGAGACTGAAGCTTCCCTTTGTTAGGGCAGCTGTATAATTTGTTGGCTTAATTTTTATTTAATTTTAGTTTTTGTACAACTTTTTTTTTAAAGATTTATTTATTATGTATGCAGTGTTCTGCCTGCATGTCTGCCTGCACACGAGAAGAGGGCACCAGATCTCATAAATATTTGTGAGCCACCATGTGGTTGCTGGGAATTGAACTCAGGACCTCTGGAGAACAGCCAATGCTCTTAACCTCTGAGCCATCTCTCCAGCCCTGTACAGCTTTTCATATGACTTTTTTACCTTTTATTCTTTGACAGAGGAGAAACACCATAGTCCCTCCGTAGAACCCAAAGAGCATTGCCTCTAGCAATATGTTCATAGGCACTTAGAATATTCCAGAAGTGTAGCTCATCACAAAATAATATGTACTGCTCCAGGAACAGTATTGAGTGATGCCAAAAGAATCTTAGAAAGAACATCTGAGACATAAATGCTTCAGTGTTTTTTTTTTTTTTTTTTTTTTTGAGGGGGGTCTCACATAGTTATGACTGTCCTAGAACTCACTATATAGATCAGGATGGCCTCAAACTCACAGAGATCTATCTCCCAAGTGTGCGCCACAATGTCCGGCTCAGCCTAGCTCAGTTTTTTTTTTTTTTTTTTTTTTTTTTAAGAGAGATGATGTCTCACAATAAAGCCCTGACTGTCCTGGAACTCGATATGTAGACCACGCTGGCCTTCAACTTAGATCTGCTGGCCTTAGCCTTCAAGTGCTAGGATTAAAAAGCATGTGCTAGGGGGCTGGAGAGATGGCTCAGAGGTTATGAGCACTGGCTGATCTTCCAGAGGACTCAGGTTCAATTTCCAGCACCCACATGGCCGTGCACAGCTGACTGTCACTCCAGTTTCAGAGGATCTTGCACCCTCCCACAGACATACATGCCAGCAAAACACCAGTGCACACAAAATAAAAACAATAAAGAAATTAACGTAAAAGCATTTGCTAACATACCCATTCCATTTTTTTCTTACTTATTTCTAAGGTGTATGTGTATTTTCCCTGCATATATATATATATGCGTCATGTATGTTGCCCAAGGAAGCGAGAAGAGGGTATTGTATCCTCCAGAACTGTGGTTATAGATTATCAGCCAGCATGTGATGCTGGAGACATACCTGGGTCCTCGGCAAGATAGCAGCAGCCAGTGCCTTACTGCTGAGCCATCTTACCACCATCGCTGCAAACCCATCCTTGAGTTTAAAGAAAGGACAGAGAGAAGCTGTGTTCCCAGAGCAGCCATCCAGGTCCCCACAATGTGGGCTGCGTTCAGAGGAAACTCGGGAAAGCCTTGGTGTTGACTCACTGAGATGGCATGAAAGTTGTTAGCAGTGGACTCTTATCTTAGTAAATTGTTTTAAAAGACAAATGTTGAGCCAAGGCAATGGTATAGACCAGTATTCGCAGGTACTTGCAGGCTAGGATCACAGGAATTTGAAGTTAGGCTGAGCAACATAATGAGACCTATATACAAAATGTTAAGGGGTGGGGCATGGCAGAATGGCTGATGAGGTAGAAGGCACCTGCCACCAAGCCTGATGATGACCTCAATTCAGTCTCTGGGGACTACACGGTAGAGGGGGAGAACTGACTCTCGCAAGTAGTCCTCTGACCTCCTCATGTGCTACCCTGCTCACACACACACAAAGGGGGAAAGGGTTCTTTTGAGACAGATCTCACGCAGCCTGTAGCCCAGGTTGGCTTGGGACTCCATGTAGACCAGTCTGCCCTAAAACCCATGAGAACTGTCTGACTCTGTCTCCTGAATGCTGAGTTTAAAGACGTGAAAGTAAAAAGAAAAAAAAAAATTAAATTCCTAAGGAAAAAAAAGTAACACACAAGGGCTGGAGAGATGATTCGGCAGTTAAGCGCACAGACGACTCTTCCAGAGGACCTAAGTTCAATTCCCAGCACCCACAGGGCAGCTCATAACTGACTGTAACTCCATTTCCAGGATACCTGACACCTTCATACAGACATACATGCAAGAAAACACCAATGCACATAAAGTACAAATAAATAATTTTTTTTAAAATAATACACCTTAACAAGTAGGTAGAACTAGGCTTTCCTAAAAGCTGAATGAAGGCTGGTAGCTAAATCACAGTCAATACTTTAGGCAATGGGGATAGTTCAGTGAGCATTCAGACTACCCAATCAGAGACCTCTGCTGTCAAAGCCCCAGCAGATGGCAGTTGCTGAAAGGAATGTGTTAGACCAGGAGGCTAGAGATGAGCTAGCAAAATTCTCCCAAGACTTAAAAACGGGGGACTTCGAGCTGGTACCTAGGTTGGTTTTTTTTCCCCTACAAGATGGAATTCAGTGCAAAGTAAGTGATAGATGCTCTGAGAGTGAAAAATCACCAAAATGTCACCTGCTAGTGACTGCTGGAAGCCTGGAAGCTCTTCTTCAGCCCCTCTCTCAGGCTGTCCCAGATAAGCTAAGGATACAGCTGGCTCTGACCAGCCCACCCTGGAATGTGGCTAGCATTTGAAGGCATTCTGGAGACCCACTAAACAATATCTACTAGATGAACAGCTTAGGAACATAACCAGTCACATTAAAGATCTCTAAAATCTTACTGATGCTAAGCCAAACCTTTGCTATCCTCTTGCATTTGCCTGTTGGACCAGCAGGAAAGCCCTCATCCAGAACTCCAGCTTTAGCATCGTCCTCATTCTGACCTCCTGCTTACAAACAATCGTGACAGTTGTTTGTAAGGTGGTATTTTGAGGATATGATTGTTGTTTATAAGAAAAGTGGCCATTGCACGATCATCTCTCTCCAGAGTATTCCTTTCAGCTCTTGAAATGCTATTAGGAATGACATTTAGACATTTTCTCGTAATTTGGAAGAAGACGTATTTCAATATAAAGTTTTAATGTCAACACAATAATTAAACTAGAAATTTACTTTTCTTTCTTATTTTTAAACAAATAACATTCTTTATTTGGGGCTGGTCATGTAGCAGTAAAATTCTTGCTTAAATCCCTGGATTCCATCTCCAGGATTGCAGACAAACAAAACAATTATTTCCCAAAGCATCCCATCCCCTACTTTTTCTTACCACATTTTAAATATATATACTGCACTTTATGTCATTTGATACTTAGGCCCCAACTGACAATATGTGGTTAATTTGCCTTTTAGTGTGCTGTGGTCTCAATATATGTGTCCCTCTAGGATTCATAGATCAAAACTTAATGCCAGTGGGCTCTTTTGGGAGATGCTTAGGTCATAAAGGCTGTGCACAGAGTAGATTAACAGTTTTAGAGAGGGATTGTAGAAGTTGGTTTACTCTCTCTTCGTTCTTGTGCTCCTACTATCTATCATTCTTCAGATACCTAGAATCTTCCTCGTGCTATAAATGGGAACTTTACAGATACTAGTGTTTTCATTTGGGACTTCCTAGTTTCTAAAACTGGAAAACTTTCTCTTCTTTAGAAATTGCCCATCACAGCCTAAACAGACATATGTTTTCAACAAAAATAATGTAGTCATATCAACTCACTGAGAAAATTCCATATTTGACAAAACAGACAAATTCTTTGCAAGGTTCATCCTTCAGGAAGCTTCCCACAAGTAAAGCAGCTAAAATTCATATGGGGTGTTAGGAGGGAAGGGAAATATTCCACTCTGCCTTTGGCATGGGAACTTCATGTGAAGAACTCAGGCTCTCATCTTCAAGACTGTTGCTGAAGCAAAAAAAAAGGGGGGGGGGCTGGAGAGATGGCTTAGCAGTTAAGACCACTCACTGCTCTTTCAGAAGACCCAAGTTCAATTCCCAGTACTTATATGACAGCTCACAGCTGTTTATAACTTTAGTTCCAGGGTATCCAGCACCCTCTTCTGACCTCAATTGGCACCAGGCATGCACGTGGTGCCATAGACATATATGCAAGAAAACACAGATAAATACATTTTAAATTTTTTAAAGGGAGGATAGGTTGAAGCTAAGTTACAAAGCTCACCTATGAAGGCTTTAGCCACATTTTCATAATTAAACATTATATGGCTGTGAAACTTTAGCTGTATTCCAGAGCTTGATAAAGAATTGTTGGTTCTAGGCCAATGAGTAGGTGATCTGAGTTCTATTCCTGTGTCCCAGGTGATGAAAGGAGAGAATCACAAGTTATTCTCTGACATACATGTGCCTCTACATCCATAGCACATAACACACACACTGAATAAATGTAATAATATTTTTTAAAATTGATTTCTTATTTATATATGGTATGTGTGTGTGTGTGTGTGTGTCAGTATATGTGTGTGTGTTCGTATATGTGTGTGAGCCTGTAGAGGCTTAAAGAGGACACTGGACCTGGAGTTACAGGAAGCTGGGTATTGTGGGCACTGGGTATTGAACTTGATCCTCTGGAAGAATGGCAAGCACTCTTTTTTTGGGGGGGGCGGGGGTTGAGACAGGGTTTCTCTGTGTAGTTTTGGTGCCTGTCCCAGATCTCACTCTGTAGCCCAGGCTGCCCTCAAACTCACAGAGATCCGCCTGGCTCTGCCTCCCAAGTGCTGAGATTAAAGGCGTGCGCATCCACCGCCTGGCACAGCAAGCACTCTTAACCACTGAGCCATCTCTCTCCAGCCCCCCAAAAGAAATTTTTACTCTAACAGTTTTGCCAGAATTTCTTGGTGCTTCTGAGAAAAAATGACATTGACATACCCCTGTACCACTGTTTTCACTAATATAACTTGGGTAAATCATTTCTAAAAATTCCTATTGCAATGTATTGACTCCTACAGGGTTTAAACCAGCTTTATATCTAGAATCTTTTTTCATTCTCAACATGCTATATAAGAAAGATGGTCCTCTTCTGGCCTGCAGGGACACATGCAGGCAGAATACTGTAAACATAATAAATAAATAAATCTTTAAAAAAAAAAAAAAAGAAAGAAAGAAAGATGGTGGTATTTTCCAGAGAGGTAAAATTACTGCCCAAGGAATGGATCAGAACTAAAATTTGGATTTTATCACTTCTGTGTCAGTTTCATGAGTTTGTTTACAGCCAGTTGGGACACGTGTATGAACTGATGTGCCTGTAATATTGAGCAGGACAGGAGACGTACAATGAGATGTGGTTGCCTCATTTTGACATAAACTCCACTTAGTGCTCAAAAAGTAAGATTTAGCTCCATTTTTACAAATCAAAATGCCTTATTTGTTTGTTTGTTTACTTTATTTATTTATGGTTTTTCAAGACAGAGTTTCTCTGTGTAACAGCTCTGGCTGTCCTAGAACTGGGTTGAATCCCTAGCATAAATAAACCAGGCTTGGTGGCATATGCCCATAAACCGGATAAACACATGAAGATCAGAGAAGTTCAAGGTCTTGCTTGGCTACATAGAGTTTGAGGCCAGCTTGAGATACTTGAGACTTTGTCTCAATAAAATAGCAAAGTCAAATAAAATGGTTAAATATAAAAGATACAAGTCTGTTGCTTTAAAAGATTCAATAATAATATATGTGAGGCACTCGAATTTATCCTCCACATTATACAAAAAAGGAGAGAGGAAAGATCAATGAAAATACAAGATTTAAATATCTTGGGATAAATTTAACATACCATATACCACATCTGTATGAAAAAAAGTTTTTAAATGCTGTTGAGAGAATGTTTAAATGAAGTTAAAAGACTACTATGTGATTGACTAGGTCTGAACATAAAGATATCTGATCTCCCTAATATATCTTTACTTTGATCCCAGTAGATATACTAGTGGGAGTTTTCCTGTGAGGAAATTAATACTAAAATAATGAGGAAAATTCTTTAAAATGTATTGAAGTTGCCAGGCAGTGATGGCACACACCTTTAATCCTAGTATTCAAGAGACAGAGGCAGGCAGATCTGAGTTTGAGGCCAACCTGGTCTACAAAAGTGAGTTCCAGGACAATTACACAGAGAAACCCTTAGAAAACCACCGCCAAAAAAAAAAAAAGTATTAAAAGAAGTACAGTCTTATTAGATACTAAAACATTATGGCCCATAATAAAGCTGTTAGTGGGGGCTAGAGAGACGCCTTAGTGGTTAAGAGCACTAGCTACTCTTCCAAAGTACCTGGGTTCATTTCCCAACTTCTGCATAGTAGTTCTCAACTGGCTTTACTCCAGTCTCAGGGGGTGCAATGCCCTCTTCTGGCTTCTAGGGGCACATACTTGGTACACGTGCATAAATTTAAGCACACACATGGACACACACGAAATTATTAAGTAAATAAATAAACCGTTTAATGCTCAGAACTCATACCCCCCCAAAGCGCGCGCGCGCACACACACACACACACACACACACACAAGTTGAATATATAAAAACGGAAAATCTCTTTAGAGCCCAGTCTGGTGAGAACAAAGTCAAATGGAAAACATCAATACAAATTGTAGGCAGTTCTACTTCCCTTACCTGTGAAGAACTCCTGTAAGGCGATTAGAAAAGTACCAGTTTCCAATGAACAAACAATACACAGAAAGACTGGGAAGAATTCACCAGTAGTTATTTTTTGTTGTTGTTGTTTTGTTTTTGTTTTTGTTTTTCAAGACAGGCTTTCTCTGTGTAGCTTTGCACCTTTCCTGGAACTCACTCTGTAGTCCAGGCTGGCCTCAAACTCACAAAGATCCACCTGCCTCTGCCTCCCAAGTGTTGGGATTAAAGGTGAGAGCCACCACCGTCCAGCTTCACCAGTGGTACTTAAATGAAATTATACCCAACTTTAGCTAGTAGAATAATGCAAATTTAAACTACCCAGATACTTTTCAGTTTGTTTGTGGAGTGAAGGTACCCTATCAGTTTGTCAAAGATCTAGAGTAGTGTGATGGTGCCCTTCTCTATCCAAGTACTCAGGATGCTGACACAGAAAAAGATCTTTAGTTCCAGGCCAGGCTGGGTAACATTTAGACCTATCTCAAAAACAAACCAAAGGCTAGCAAGATGGCTCAGTGAGTAAAAGTGTTTACCGTGCAAGCCAGATGACCACAGTTCAGTTCCCAGAACCCACAGTGGAAAGAGAAAGATCCAGTTCTCAAAAGATATCCTCTGACTTCCACATGCTGTCATCATGGCACATGTGTACCTGCACTCATACACATAGTAACACTCATGCATCACATAATAACAGTTATTTTAGAGTAAACAGAACACTAAAGCTCCAGGTATTGTTACTAGTTGACAAGAACATCAGCAGCATAGGAAACTATTCACCCACTTTGTGCTGATGTATGAATTAACACAACCTATATGGAAAGTGATTTGAAATATCTATGAAAATGAAGTTTATGTTTCAGATGTATTCACTTACATGCAAATTAATTTACTTCAGCATTTTTCAACTAGAGTAGGGAGAGCAGGGACTCAGAAACAATCTAACCCTTTATCAGTAGGGTGCTGAGCAGATAGAAACAGTGATCCCCAGAAAATACTGTTTGTAACAAAGATTGGTTAAACAGTATAAGTGAGGACCTACCATTTGTGTGTGTGTGTGTGTGTGTGTGTGTGTGTGTGTGTGTGTGTGTGTGTGTGTTAAAATATAAATAACATAGTTAACCATTTTTAAGATACCATGGCATTAAGTACAATATTATGCAAATATATGTTTTTTGTAACTTTTTTAATTAATCACTTTTTTCAGTAAATTTGAAAATAAAATCATCATGCCGTTGAGTTAAGATAGCCACTCAAACAGGTGCCTAGACTTGGTACATTTCAGTGAACTCTGCAGCGAGAATGGTCATTCTGAAGCCATGGAGCTTTATTTAGGGCTTTACACTTTCACTGTAGGGTCTCTCTCTTTAGCTCTGGAACTCAATGTGTTGACCAGGCTGGCCATGGATTCACAGAGATCCGCCTGCCTCTGTTTCCCAAATGTTGAGGTAAAAGACATGCCCAGCTTGTCAATTACATTCTAATATACTTCACCACAAATAAATAAAAGTGGAAACTAAAAAAATGGCATTTTTATCCTCTTGCATAAGTCATGTTTCATGTTGCTAGTATGCATGCAAAGTAATACAGCCATTGTGAACATCAGTTTGGAAGTCCCCAAAATAAGTTTTAAAATGCACACTGCTATACCCAGGGAGCTCCAAATCCTGCCATAGAGATAGCTGCACATCCATGTTTATTACTTATTACTTATTACCTTACTTATGATAGCAAGGAAATGGAGCCGTCAGCTGATGATTAGATAATGAAAATGTGGTATATATGTAAAATTAAGTAGTTTTCAGCTTAAAGAAAAACAAAATCATTTTTTGTGGAAAGATGTGTGAATTTAAGAAAATATAGTAGGGCTCTCTGCTCTCACCGCTGTGTCAGACAGACAAGGGACCAAGCTCCAGAGCTTGAAATAAAGGCTCTTTGCTTTAAAAAAAAAAAAAAAAGAAAATATAGTATTGTTAGATTATCCAAACTCAGAAACATTGCATGTTCTCCCTCTTGTGTGGATCCTAGTATATATGTAAACAGCTGTAAGTGTGGATAAAGTATAAAATTTAAAAAGAAGACCAAGAAATATTAGGTGATGAGCAAGCAAGGGCAGGATGTAGGTAAAATTACACATGTAATTTATTTATATTTTTGTCATCCCAAGTAGAAACTACTATTAAATAGTAACTTAATTTCCTCCTCCCTCCTTCCTGCCTAGGGATCTATTCCACTCCATCATGTGAATTGTGTATATTCTGTGTATTATACATAAATGAGACAGTGGATATTTTTTCATAGTATATTTCATGTAACAATGTTTTCAAGATTCATCCATGTTGCATGCATCAGAATTTTATTTCCTTATGAGTAATATTCTATAACAAGTATACATAATGCTTTGGTATCTTTATCTGTTGGCCAGCTGTGGGTTTTCTACCTTGTAGCTACTATCAATAATGTTGCTGTGATCATTGCTATCCAGTTGTTTGATCCTTCAGTTCTTTGGGCTAGATACCCAAAAGCAGCATTGCTGGTTCATGCAGTAATTATGCTTAATTTTTAAAAAATAGTTTCATTTATTCTTTGACAGTTTCCTGTATGTATTCAATCTTGGTCATATCCACCCAAATCCTCCTCCAATTCCCCTTGTTTAATTTGAAGAATTGTCAAACTGCTTTCCATAGCAGTTGCCTCGGTTTAGTCTCCCCAGTTTCTCTGTTTTTGCCTACACTTGTTATTTGCCATTGTTCCTTTTTCCTTTCTCTTAGAAGTCATCTTAATGGATGTGAAGTGGTACCTCATTGTGGTTTTGATTTGCATCTCTCTAACAATTAGTGATGCCAGCCATCATTTTCCTGTACTTATTACAATTTTAAATCTTTGGGAGAAATGTCCATTAATAATCTGTCTCCCATTTTTAATAGAATCTTATAATTGTTAAGTTATGGACTTTTTAAAAATATTCTGGATAGTAGGTGCTTAACTAGATGCATAATTTAAAAATTGTTTTCTCTATTGGTTGTCTTCACTTTTTCAGTAGGGTCCTTTGGAATTCAAAAGTTTTTTTTTTGTTGTTGTTGTTTTTTTTTTTTTTTGGTTTTTCGAGACAGGGTTTCTCTGCGTAGCTTTGCGCCTTTCCTGGAGCTCACTTGGTAGCCCAGGCTGGCCTCGAACTCACAGAGATCCGCCTGGCTCTGCCTCCCGAGTGCTGGGATTAAAGGCGTGCGCCACCACCGCCCGGCTCAAAAGTTTTTAATCTTGATGAAGTCTGTGTTTTTAAATAATTTTATTATTTATGTATGCATATGTATGTATGTCTGTATGTCCCCAAAGAGGTCAAAAAGGTGATGGCTCCCCAAAGTGGGAGTTCCAGACAGTAGTGCACTGTCTGATGTTGGTGCTGGGAATTGAACTCAGATCTGCTACAAGAACGACAGATGCTTTTCTCCACTGAGCCATTCATTTTTCCAGCCCTGAAGACTAACTGTATATCCCTCTGTGGTGTATGTGTCCCTCTACTGTCTGTTCTCATAAGCCAGTGCTTAATCAGAGATGGCAGAGATCACACCTCAGGTTTTCCTTGGAGCTTTATTTTGTAACTCTTCCATGTAGGCATCTTCCATGTAGGCATTTAATCCATTCTGAGTTGATTTTATGTGTAGAATGTGGTGGGGATCTACTGATTTTGCATGTAGAAATTTAGTTGTCTAATTGTACAGGTTTATTTCTAGGCTTTCAGTTTTATTATGTTCTTCTGTATATATCTTTATGCCAATATATATCCTATTATTTATTTAACTGTGAATCAAAACATAAAAATATAAAGTTCGGGAATGGAGAGAGAGTTCTACTGGTAAAGTACCTACCTTTCTTTATGTATGAAGACCTGAGATTAGTCTCCAAAACCACGTTTTAAAAAGCCAGGTTTGGTGGTGCACACTTGTAGTCCAGCACTGGAGGACAAAGACAGGCCCCAGGGCTCACTACTCGGCAAGTTCCAGGTTCTCAATTATGACCGAGTTTATTCCTTTAATTTATTCTGATTTACTCTTCCAGGAAAATGTGCTGTGCTGTCATTCAAGGACTTCCTCTCCTGCAGGCCAACTGAAATACCAGAAAATGACATTCTGCTTTGTGAGAGCCGCTATAATGAGAGTGACAAGCAGATGAAGAAATTCAAGGGGTTGAAGAGGTTTTCACTCTCTGCTAAAGTTGTAGATGATGAAATTTACTACTTCAGGTAAAGCTTATAAAACAAAGGAAGAAAGGGTACTTGGGCTAACTTATCAAAATAGTGTAGCCCATTGTTTTGAGTTCTTTATTAGGTCTTGGACTAGCATTACATAACTCCAAATGAAAATATTAATTTGGTGAGATGTGGTAATTACCATACTTGGGAGGCTGAGGCAGGAGGATTGTATAAGTTTGAGTCAGCTGGAGCTACAAAGTGAGACTATGTTGCAGAGAGAGAAAGAAAATATTCAATTAATAGTGCCTTATCTTAAACACCAGCAATTGTAGAATGGAGCAGAAACACTTGGCTTCTGGTTGGCAGCCTCTCTGGGGGGATTACTCAGTTCCACATTATGACAACTCCTTTTAAACATAGAGTGCATTCGACCTGAGCAGTGCTCTCTGAGTATTCTTCAGAATTACTTTTAAGTAGAAGTGACGTCACAAATACCCATTGAAGCTACTTAGAGTGGTTGTGGAAGGTTGCAAAATATCCTTTGTAGATATTCAGATCTGCTCTCTGACAACCTAGAAGTGGTTAGCAACTTTTAAATTAATTAATTAATTAATTTTCTGTACTTTTCTTTTTTTTCCAGAAAACCAATCATTCCTCAGAAGGAACCTTCACCTTTGTTGGAAAAGAAAATACAGTTACTAGAAGCTAAGTTTGCCGAGTTAGAAGGTGGAGATGATGATATTGAAGAGATGGGAGAGGAGGATAGTGAGGTCATTGAACCTCCATCTCTACCTCAGCTTCAGACTCCCCTGGCCAGTGAGCTGGACCTCATGCCCTACACACCCCCACAGGTAGGTGACGTGCCCCGTTACTTGCCTTGTTCTCAGTGCTGATCTGCAGCAGGCTCAGACCAAAGTAGGAGACATCCAAGCCCTGTGTTGTCAGCCTTTGTTTTGTTTGAGATGATGTCAGTAGCATAGGCTGGCCTCAGACTTACTGGTGTGTTCAAGGTGGGCCTGAACTCTGTTTCTCTTGCCTCCATTTCCCAAGCACTGGAGTATAGGTGTGCACTACCACATTTTTCATATGTGAGCTTTTGCCTAGAAATCTGCACAAAGGAATAGTAGTATTTTGTTTTGCTTCTCAGAGCCTTTGTTTATTTACTAATTTATTTTTAATTGACAAAAAGCACATTTATCATTAAGCCAATAATAATTTCTCTTTTAAATTTCATAGAGGTGGCTTAATAGCAGTTATTGAAGGCTTCTTGCCTTGTACTGAAGAAAAGCAATAAGAAATGGTGTCATGCTCTTAACTCCCTTAGTTTTCAGTGGCCATACCTGTGATCTTTCTGTCTTCTAAATAATGGGGTTATCGATGTATTTTTCATTTCTCCTTCTTTTGGTTGAGGTGATCCCTATTGTATTTATTTTCCTCATTCAGAATTTTCTCAAGATTTAATTGTGAGGTCACCATTGTAGATTGCAGTCATGGAATTCAGTGAAATTTCCATTTATTTTGTACAAGGCAAGGAAGAAGTATATTTTTACCAAGAAAATGTTAGCTACATACTGAGTATGTCTATAAAACATTCATTATTGAACCATGTGTGTCTGGCTTCCAGAAACAATGTAAATAATCTAGTGCAATTTTCTGATACCCTATATAAGTCTTCTGTCTTCCAGTCTACCCCAAAGTCTGCCAAGGGCAGTGCAAAGAAGGAGGGTTCTAAGCGGAAAATCAACATGAGTGGCTACATTCTGTTCAGCAGTGAGATGAGAGCCGTGATTAAAGCCCAGCACCCAGACTACTCTTTCGGGGAGCTCAGCAGACTGGTGGGGACAGAGTGGAGAAATCTTGAGACAGCCAAGAAAGCAGAATATGAAGGTAAATAGAGACCAGGCACAACTGTCCCCACCTTCTAAGCAAGGGGTGTTCTCCAGGAATGCACGTGCAGAGACAGGTGTTACTCTCTTGTTTAGTACACACACGTGAATTGGGTGTTCTGGACTGTTTCAGCCGTCAGTAGCACACTGACAGGTGCCAGGACATGGAGTGTTGCCTCTGACTTGGCCTCAGATCCTGGTGGTGGTGCCTCTCCCCACAAATTTCTCAAACAAAAAAGTTATGCTATTAAAAATTGCATGATTTTATTTCATTTACCCTAGTAGGCACACACATTGAGCAGGGGAGTGATTGCTCAATAATGTTAACTTTAATTCACCTGCAAGTGGCCTTTGAAAATAGGTGATTTTCTGTTATGTCTCTCAAGAAGCCAAAGCTCTAAGTTAAACTCTAGGCTCAGGTTGGTATGCCTGGTGCTGTGTCTGTGTTCATACCTAATCGTAAGACACGTGGATTGACAAAGCTCACCTGCCTTCACTTCCCCTACTCGGTGATTAGATCACTTTGAGCCATGAGCTAATATTACTCAAAGATTGGGTGGTTCATAGCCATAAAGGATAAATTCTTAAGAGATTTTTGGTGGTTTGGATCTTTTGTTGTTCTAGTTAATATTGGGTATGGATTGAATATATGAGAGTAAGCATTACATTAGGCAGGACTTTTATAAATATTGTATGTTAGATAATTTTCCAATATAGAGTCTTCCTTTCTACAGTGGTCAGTATGCTTCTTGACCGAGTCCACATCCATTCTTCTTCAGCAAGCATACATGATGAAGGCTGCTCCTTTTATTGAAGGTTATGAAATCTCCAAAGTAACTCTTTTGTAAAAAAAAAAGTTATACTCCTTTCATTTGTTACTATTTATTCTTAGAAAATTATCTGACAAGCTTCCTTAAGGATCTTCTGCTGAAGACTAATTCTGCAAGATGCTCAGCTAAGAAATATTTTGTGGCAAAACATGTTTCAGAAGGATTCCAAACTCTGGACATAGTTCTAAGTTAAAGTCTCTAAGATCTCCTTTTTTTAATTATCTGTAATTTACTGAAATTTGACCAGGTATTTATCTGGTATCTATTAATACCCTGGAAAGTTAATTTGTACAACATTCTTTGAGTAACTCTAGTCAATCCCATAAGAACCTATAACTCTGGGACACTTAGATATTTCAGGGCTTACTGCAAGTTAGGACCAAATATACCACTTAGTTAGAGGACTGTTGTCTAAGAAAGTAGGCTACTATAGTGTAAAGCCTGTGTCAAGGCAAACAAAGCTAGTATTGTGTGGGTGGTTATTTGGGGTATGACTAGGACAAAGGATCTAGAGATGATGTGAAGGCAGGAAAATTGGAGCATTGCTGAGGAAAGAAGAAACGATGGGTGAGAAATTCTCTCATGCAGTGGGGTGTCTGGAATTAGGAAGGACCTAGTGAGAGGGGAGTTTATGATTCAGTAGCCTGAAATTCAGACTTTGAACTTTGGGTGCTTCTGCCCACCGAATTCCAAATGCAAAGTTGGGGGTTTGGCTGGCGTAATTTTAGTAGTTCTGACTTCCCGAGCAGCCCAGGCCAGCTTCTCTCAGCAAGAGTTAATATTGGATCCACACACCTGAGCTCGTCTGGTTTTCCAGCTTCGGTTTTTCTTTTTCCCTCCCAGTTTATTGTTTCATTTGTTTAATGAAAAAACCAAGACTTAATATTGGGTATCTAGATCACTAATAGTTTTTTTAACTACTGCCTTGGAAAAATAGGTTGTTAGAATGGGTTTGGTCCTCACACAATTGTACTCAGTTTACAGAAGATATTAGAAGGGGATAGTGCCAGTGAATTGTCTACAAGCAACTCTATCACACCTTGGGGAACCTTTGACTTGCACATTTTTCACATTCTTCCCATAAAGGAGTAGAGCTGTTACTTCTTAAGTCTCTCTAAAGTCATGTGACTTCAAGCTGTTTTCCCCAGAAAGCTGTAGTCTTTCGAATTCCTTGTTGGACAGTTCACTGTAGAAGTTGAATTTCAGTATCACACCAAGCGTCGGGGCCATAAGTTGCTGTTTCTCCTGTATTCTTGGACAAGGCACTATTTGTTTGACTTGTCCATCTGAAGAGTGGGAAGGACTTCCTACTTAGAATGGCAAAGCTGAATGAATCCTGTATGATGGGAACTTTGGGAGTATGCCCTCAAGAAGGTCTGGCCTGCTTGGAGCGTGACTGTTGAGGGTGCTAGCTCTAGAGATGCAGAGCAGCTCGAGGAAGCAAGGGGTCCACCGACTGATAGCCCAGAGGTTCCAAAAGTATGTGCTCCTCTTGTATATCAGGTGCACTAAGAGTAGATGCTGGAATTCTTGCTGATTTGGGATAACTTATGGTCAGCTTTGAACTTAGCTTCAGGGAACCTGGTTCTTTCAGAATATTGTTCATTGCTACATACATGTATGTATTAGTTCTCCGTTTCTGATGACTGTAGTCTAGCTAATCATGTATTTCCCTCCTTGGAGTTTGTTAATCATGACTTCTTTCTTTGCTTCATTAGAATGTAGAAACTGGCTGTTTACGTTTCCTAAAATCTTAAGCTAGAGGCAGTAAGCTACTTTTCCCTTACAGAGTTAATTTTCTTCAGCTGCTAAACTTGTGATATTAATGATGAGTCCTCAAATTTTAGTAAAATTGGATACAAGGAATCAGGAAATTAGAGTAAGTACAATTGTGCCAAAAAATTATAATGGGCCATGGAATTGCTTCATGTTGAAATTATAATCTGTTATGCTATTAATACTAGAATAATGGTAGCGCTTCTCATCTTCAGAGTGCCTCGTGAGATTAACCACGGTGGTTACGCTGGTGATGTGTTTCGATAAAACCTGTGCTTTCTGAATGTGTGTTGCAGTCTTAACATTCTTGAAATCTTTGCAGACCAGTTCTCAAGATGGGATAGGAAAGCTGAATTCTAGGTTATCAAGTGAAATC